AGAAGGTCGATCCAAACGGCCTTGCGACGCCATTTCAACGAGGCAGCCGACTCAGTCAACATGCTTCGCAGGCAGAAAATTGTCTGACCGAGCAATTGAGTTGACCCCTCCATGCAGACTCAGGTCGCGTGGGTCATCGTCCATGAAAGCGCCGGGCGCAATATTACGTTTCACTTTCAACCCGGTACCTTGGTGCTGTCCAAAAACATTCCAAATAGCGTGGTTTTGGCTACCAGAAGCAAAAAACATCGTACATGCCGTGGTTTTTGGCTTCCGAGGCGCAAAAACACCGGTATTTACGGTGTTTTTTTGGCTCGGAGAGTTTCACAAAAATGCGAAAACACCAACTATTTGACGATTTTCGGCCATTACGAGACTGAGACAAAAACTGCAGGGGTAACAACAAGAACAAGAACACGAACAAGAACAAAAGCAAGAACAAGAAAAAGAACAAGAGCAGAACCACAACAAACACAAGAACAAGAACAAGAACAACAAAAACAAGAACAAGAAGAACAAAGAGAACAAGAAGAACAAGAAAAACAAGAAAATCAAGAGAACAAGAAGATCAAGAAGAACAGCGAGAACAACAAGAACAACAAGAACAAAAACAAGAACCAGAACCAGAACAACAACAACAACAACAGCAGCAGCAGCAGCAGCAGCAAAAACAACAACAACAACAACAACAACAACAACAACAAGAACAAGAACAAGAACAAGAACAATAACAAGAACAAGAACAAGAACAACAACAACAACAACAACAACACCAGTAACAATACCGTGGTTTTTGGCCTGTGAGGCGCCCAAAAAAAAGAATTTGCGGCATGTGTTGTCCGGAAGGTTTTTTGAGAAATTGGCTTAGCACAGCCAAAATGACGGCTTGCACCGCCATCATCAACACCGTAACGACAGCAAACGTTTGAATTTGGATTCATTTGTTTCATTGTTTTTTGATGTTTTTTGTGATTTTGCTGTGGTGACGCATTTTGCACCGATACGCTTCTACAAACAGACGACGCACAGACACCTTTACACAGATCAGTTTTTATGTGCAAATATTCTTTCACAGAGAGGTTTGTGCACAGATAAGTTTTTACGCGCAGATGCCTTTACACACAGAGGTTTTTACGCAAAAGAAATACACAAAAAAAATTACACACCGATGTTTTGCACAAAGATGTTTTTGCACGCATAAATAAAGGCACACAGGCGCTTTTACACACAGAACCTTTTACACAGAGAAACCTTTGCACAGAACAATTTTTGCGCAACGAGACTTTAACACGGGAAAAATTTGACACAAAAAACTTGTCCACACAGACTGCACAAAGAAATTTTTACACGCAGAACCTTTACCCAGACCAACTTTTACACACACACACACACATTTTTTTCCGCACAGAAACCTGTATTCACAGAAGTTTTTATGCACAACATTTTTTTCACAGGCACTTTTACACACAGATGCCTTTACACAGAAAAAACAATATTACACACAGAAACTTGTGCACACAGCACGTTTTTACACAGTCAGTTTTTATTACACGGAGGTTTTGTTTCCCTTTCTTGATCACCTACCTTTCGTGTTCCCCTTCTCAATTATATATATATACATATATATCATATTTTCTATATACTAAATATTTTTTAGATTATATAATATATGTGTTATATATCATATAGTCTAGATTCAACATTGTACCGTACATATAATCGCATACGATATATGATTTATGCAATATGTGATGTATTTTGTATTTAAACACTATATTTTATGTGTGGTATACTATATATGTATTGTATTTCTATTTGCCTGTTCCACAACCCTCATGGCAAGGAGATCGAAAGGTGGCTCCCCGGGGAATTAAAGATGAAGCACTGGGCAGCTGTCTGGGGGCCCGATGTGATGCTCATGGCGGCAACTTCTCTTCTGGACCTTGTTTGCCCCAATCTCTGCAGTAAGGTCTATAAGCTCTTGCGCGACTGAGTCGTCTTCCCGCGTCGGGAACACCGACGCAGCGCAGGTGAGACGTGGAGATGGTCCAAACAACCAACCAGCCAAACAGCCTGGGGGCGGCTTTGTCCGTCCTGGGCACTACACCACACACCAGAGACACGACAAAAATCCGATAAAATGTCTTCCTGATTTAAGGGATCCTCTCCAGCCCCGGTAGTGAAGATTTAGCATGCCATGCTTGGGAGCACAGTTGAGGTGGCATGAGTTCACAATTTGCAGAGCGAATCTTTTTTGTCGCCCTGCCCCGTTTCACCTATCGGCAGTCCTCCATCTCACCGACTAGCCCGGATGGCAGTCTCCGGGCTGAATTGCGCATGTGGGCAGCGCCAGCAAAGCCAAGATCATGTGCCAATTTGCAAGAGCGCCTAAAACATCCTAAAACCCTACATACCCTACATGGGTTTAACAACAGCAAAACATAGTAAAATTAGACAACATGTTGGGTAATCAAGGGATACAAACCAGAAATGGATGTCACTTGAAGATACTGTATCTGAGGGAAGACTTAGATATCTTGGATCATGTTAAAGGAGTGTTTAGGCCGCTGTTGTTTTTCCAGTTTCATCTTGCACTGTGGATGGTTAATACATGTGAATACCATAACCAAAAAATACCAAACAAATGCAATGTTTCTCTTAATTCCGCAACCAGTGGAAGAGTGGATCATCATGGTCTCTTTTTATTGCTGACCCAAGATGGTCATTGAAGAGTTTGGTCCACAGGAAATGCGCCCTTACATGCATGTTAAACTATACTATAATATATATATATAATACAATTTAATACAAGAATATATATATATACATATGTAGAGTACAATATAAGACAATTATATATATACATATGTACATGTATAATCCGATATAATACAATATAATACTATATAAGACAATATAAATACAATACAATATAATGCAATATAATTCAATATAATGCAATATAATGTAATATGATGCAATATGATACGGTACGATGCAATACGATACGATATGATACGATATGACATGACACACACACATATATATATATATATATGTATATATATATAGATATGTAATGATATGTTTCGTTTATTGTATGAATGCATGGTTTGTAGATGTAATGTATTTATCATACGGTCGCATGACATGACTTGGCCATCTCCAATCCAAGAGATCGTCTTCCGAGGCCAGCAGTCCATGGCTCAGCAAGTTTCCTTGAGCTGCACGGTTTTCAATGATTTTCAAACAATTTCAATCAGCTTTCACTATCATAGACATATGTATACAATTGTATACATATATATATATATGTATTATATGAGTATTTTATACATATATATATGCATTCCTGAAATTAGTGAATCTGAAAGAAACGATGGGGTGTTTTCATAAACTATGTGGGTTTCCTTTTTTTCATGCGTAGAACATCAACCAATCCACTGGCTCCAAAAACCGGGGCCCCTCCACCCCGCCTGCCGCGCCCATCTGCGGAGAAGTCTCGAGGCAGGAACCAAAGGGTCCACAAGAAACCGAAAGTCTGCCTCGAAACGGTGGCGTTGTTTACGGCAAAAAAGGGTGGAATGGCGATGTCTCCGGGGCTTGGGCTTTTTTGCCCCCCAAATGATGGCCATGTTTTTTTTTGGCAAAATGATGTTTTCAACCGTGGGCACTGGATTTAGGGGGTACCCTCAGTTTCAGAGAAACTCAAACAGTTTTTTTGAGACAACAGAGTGGTGTTGCAGAACTGGCAGAACTAGCCTAACTAGCCAAACTGGCAGCTGGTAAAGCACTCGGGGAAATTTGGTTGGATATTTTTCGATTGCTGTGATAGATAACCCAAGGGATACCTCACCCCTTGGCTGGATTCGAAGCAAAATGGGGATTTCTGAGAAAGACATCTCGAAATCGTTTTAACTGGGTGTGTATCAATTGAAGGACCTGCGAAGCTCATTTCGCATTTACTCTATGACCATCCAAAGTTTGAGTACAACCCCATTGTGCTGCATACGAATCTAAGTTTTTGCAGCCAAGGGGGAAGGGGTTCCTCAAATTCTCAACCTGGTAGGGCCCAAGCCTCTTTTTGGCAATGGTTGTATCCTCCCAGGATCTTCCAGACTCACGGGGAGTTTCTAACATATTCATTCCCATTCCGGGAATGTCAACCGACATCCCATCCTGTGAATCCGCTTTCCATTGGTCAGGACAGAAGTGGCCAAATACCTTCCCACTCAGACAATATGACACATTTATATACAAGGAGGTTTTGGGACTATGAATTGCAAAAATCGCTGGGCATCAATGTCTAGAAAATGGGGGCCTGAAAGATCTTGAAAGTGGGTGATCAACCATCCACAAATTCTAAGAGATCGGATGCCCACCTATTTTCCCCCGACATAGCTTCCAAGCAATGCTTCAGGATTTATGGTGAAACATCCATGTCATAGTTTGGCAATCCCTGGCTTGGCAGTTGAAACCATTGGGAAAAAAATCTGCCAAGCTAACCTGCAAGGACTAGAGAGGAAGATTTCTGGCTAATCATAGTGCCTTTTCAACTGACAGAGTGCAGTTTCGCTGGGTAATGCAACTGGAGAATGGTTGATGAATTTTGGTTAATTCTCGCTAGTTTTGGTGAGGAACATATTTGACATCCCTCTCAAAAAAAGCAGCTTATCTCCGTTTGGGATGTTTTCTGTGCTGGGAGCAAAATGGATAGTTTTGGAGGCGTTCTGAACCACTAATTAATCGCAGGCACCTATGGTAACTATGGTTCGAGCGAAGATTTTGTCAGACTGTAGTGGACCTCTCACTGAAAAGAGCTACGCAGCTACTAGCTCTGGCCCACTGCTAGAGTGATCCATGAAAAGCAGCATGCATATTAATTATGATATGCTACATGTATATGTACTGTGTGGTTGCTAGTCACCATTGTAAATTGTAAGTGAAAGTGAGTGAGACGAGGATTAATTCAGCTTGGTGCAGCGCGTCATTTCCCAGCTGATCTGCAGCCGCGAAGCAGTCGAGCTCACCTCTGTGCGTTGCATCACCGAGCGGGTGAAGTGTTGCGAAGTGTTGAAAGCGAAGTGATGGCTGAAGTTGAAGTCCGAAACTCAGGATGGAGCTGGGAGAAACTCTGCAAAGCTTGGTTTGATTGGTGGATATCCATGGCTTTGTTTTTCCCTACCCTTTGGTAATCAAACTTGGCTTGCTGAAAAATCCCAGGATGATGTTCACATTCAAATCATTTTATATCCCCATTTGTGGTGTATTTCATGGAATTTTCCATTGCCATGTTTGATTCCCGGAGGGTACTAGAAAAGATGTGTGTTCATCGTCCCATGGGTAATCCCTTCTCCCTAATATTACACACCCCACAAACGAAACCATGGAGACAGGTAGGGAATTTCCATGGGATTGCCATGGATGACCCCCCAAGGCGAAATTGGCAGAGCTGGAGAAGCGCTTGGCCGCCCTGGAGACAGGTGGACGACTGGGGAGCGAGAATGGCGACTGGGAATGAGAATGACGACCTGAAAATCGTTAGTATCATGCAATTTATATATTATATATGGCAATTAAATGGGACAAATGACGATAAACCATCAGTTTTTTAGATTTTTTTAGACAAACTCTCATAGCAACCTGGCCGGCCTCACCTTACCACAACGGCCGAGATGATTTAAAAATGACAATTTGCTCAGCTAGGCACTGGTTTTGCAGCCCATGTTTGCAACATGGTGTTTGTAGGGTACCGAAGGAACCCACGCCAGGTCCACCTCCCAGTTGTTGGTTGACGCACCCAGTGGATCCCACTTGTGTCGCGCGAGATGATGCTAGTGCCCCACGCAAAGCGGGCAGTGATGCGCAAGTCATGAAGAAGGTGGGTGGCGCTCGGTTTTTTGGTTTTTCTGATGGAAGTTGTGCCGTTGTTTTTTGGGAGAGCTGCTAACAGATCAAACAGATCTAACAGAAGGTTGATTACCGGGGTTGCTTCATGTTTAATATGGGACGCCAGTCTATTTTGTGTCGTCGTTGGGTTGAACCAATCAATCAGCTAGACTTCATCATAAATGGGGTACAGTATGAATGGACACAAATGTCATGTCAATCCGCTTTCTTTTTGACGCAAAGCTGCCTTGGCAGAGAGTCCCAATTTTTAGCTTGGATATTCATTTTTCCACTCAGTATTTTCCAGGGCACCAGTGGTTGTTGCTGAGTTGTTCGAATCCAATACATGACAAGAGCCATGTGTGGTTCCACCACCCTGTCGATTGATGGTGACCGCTGATTTTGTAAACCCAAGAAGTTCCAGGTTCTTTTTCAGGTCACGCATGATATGTAATCCACATACTGTGTAAAATTGGGCACCTGTGTTTTATTTCAAAACCACCCGACATTATAGCAGAAAAATGTTGATTGGGAGCTGATTTTAAGGGATATGATTTTAGTCGGTGATTTTTTTTGATTTTGGGGACATTGATTTTAGGATGATTTCAGGGGACGTGATTTTACGGCGTTTCAGGGGAGGTGAGTTTTAGGGAAGGTGATTCTCGGAGAGGTTGTTGTGCGGCATATATTTTTTGCGGAAAGTGATTTTATGACAGATGAGTTTAGGGAAGGTGACTTTAGGGCATTTTGGGGGTTTGTAATTCTAGGGGCGGTGATGTTTTTGTTTTTTTTTGGGGGGGACTTGCTTTTAGGATCTTTTAGGGGAGGTGATGGGGACTTATGCCAGACCAAGCTACAAATTTTCTCAGAGACGAGAGCAGTGTGCTGTGCAGGGTATCCAAGAGCCGCCACGATCAAACCATTCGCAGAAGATGGGGTAAATCCACCATTTTGGACAAAGTCCAATGACCGGTTCAAGTCCAACTTTTAATATTCTCATTATATGCTACTGGATGGTTATTCCTCCAAATATGGTAACAATAGGTTTCCACCCATCCCAGCATATATAATCATATAATATCATATAATATCATATAATATCAATTAATATCACATATATATATAATATAATATATTATAATATATATATATATATCATTAAATTCTGGAAACGCCACTTGGTGGTTCACCCGAGTAAGTGGGTTATTGACTTCACCTCACTTGATGCGGGGGTAATGTCCAGTGACTTCACGGCGGTGAACTAACCCAATGAGGTGAAGCTTATGGTGAAAACTGGTATTTCATGCTGAAGGTATCCAAAAAAAAACAATAAAAACCAATATTTATATATTTCACGGTGAACGCCCTATATTTATTGGATTTGAATGGCAAAAGCCCATATTTCATGGTTAAAGCGCCCTATTTCATGGTTGGAACCCCACCTTTTCCAGTGCTGAAGCTCCTCCAGGTGGCCACCAGGTTGCAGGACTTTGAGTCACAGATCACGGCGCAACTCTCCAATCTGCAGACGGATTTCGCCCGGGGACTCGGGACGGTTTTCAGCGGGTCAAAAAGGTTTTGGGCAGTTTCAACATGTTCATAATATGTAATGCATTGTACATATACATACATATACAATATAATACATATATATATATAATGTACGTATATACATATATATATATATCATATTATATATATATAATTAATGTGCATGTGTTATGATATCCTTGATGTCCCTGACCTTTTCAGGCTTGTAACCGGAAAGACCAGTGAACAATATTTTTGTGCTCCTGCCACTTTGGGGCAGCATACCGCAACATTATGGTCCATGGTCCACTGGTACCGTTTTGAGCCATAGTCAGAAGATTTGCCGATTTGCATCGTTTTTTCTTCCCTTGATCTGTTCAAATCTATCTAATCCCAACCCCCTAGGAAAAGAATCCACAATTATGGCTCCCCACCCAGCATGAAAAACAAAACAATCTCTGATGTAAGGGGCCTTTGCTTGATGTCTTCTGTTATATGGCGATGGATGGCGTGGTGGGAATCGGATATGAATACTTCTGAAGATATGGTGCATTATGGTGCCCTTAAACGTGCCCCATCAAAGGTCAAGCGGCGTTTGCATCATCATCCAGTCTCCAAGTTCACTCACTGATGTGCACTGGCCCCTCACCGGGTCTTGCTTGGCCATATCCTGATCTTACACCTGATTACTTTAGGAGCTGGTATCTCCAAGCTTGAAACCTTCATAGACCCTGAACCATTCGGAACCATTCAGAACCATTGGCAACCGTGATTATCCATTCATACTATAGTACCCATTGGTAAATGAGCATAATCATAATTGAGCATGATTATCCATGATTAAGCATTTCTTATTAGTAAGTCATCATAATCACATTAAGCACATTAACATACATTAACATACATTAACCAGTACTAACCAGTCTATTCACCCATCACCCCCGTTGTATCCCCGTGCTGAGGACAAAAAGCTGAGCCACGTGAACCGCGGAGCCAGCTCCACGAAGCCCGTGGACGGTGCGGGCGGTGCGGCTGGCCTGGATACCATGGCCGAGGTGCGCCGTCGTGCGATGGATCCATGGGGATTTCCCGACCGGACCAGCCTGGGACCCTATGAATTCACCAGGAAAAAGTGGGAGAAAACTTGGAAACACCGTGTTTTTCTAGGAAACATGGAGATAAATAGCTGGGTTTTAGTAGGAAAGATTGGGATAAAACTGGGGAAAAACATTGGGTTTAACTAGAAAAAATGTGGTATCATATGGTATCATTGGATATATCTAGGGGTATCTAAACTTTAGTTGATTTATGATAGGAATGTAGGGTTCATAGCATTTAACCAACAAAATTAATGAGAGTCTAAGTCTAAATTGTCGAACTTTGTCGATTTCAAAATGATACGATGGCTGGGGATGAAACCACCCATCTTTTTTTCAGGGGGGAATACCATCAGGATACATGAAGATATATTAAACATGATGCTGTAACTAGCAAAAATGCATGGTATCGGCTATCACAATAGACCATCACAATTAGGGATTGAAACCCGTGATGGGTGCTCTCAATGCAATACCTCCCAATTTTTTTGGTCATTTGGAAAGGTCTGCAAATCCATCCAATTCTTGAGTCATATTTTTTTTGGTCATGGTTTGAGTCTTTCTTTGGAGGCAACCGGTCATGTTTGGTCCCCTGCCTCCCAAGCATCTTCACCGCCAATGGTGCCGGGTCAGGATTTGGACCAACTGAAGTACGACGTGGGCGAATTGAAAGACCTCCTTGGCCGCTCTGCAAACTGTGAGACGGGTTGTCTTTTTTTGGGGCCGCAGCAGGTTCCTGGTGGGTTTTGTCAAACTTTGAGATCTCGCCTTTTCGATCATTTCCATCCCAAAACCTGGAGGTTTGTTGATGACTCCCAGGTGACAGGTTTGGAATGAGTGGCTCAACCACCAGAATTGTCGCACCAGAACGGAGCTTTGAAATACAGGAAATGATGGTGTCTTCCAGGTGTCCCCCAGGCCCGGTGGCCGGTGGCAGCCTCAGGCAACAATAAGGGCGAAGTGAACCATATCCGCCGCATCGTCCTGGCCTGCGAGCGTGACATGGAGGACATTTCTTCGTGGATTGAAGGATGTTTTTTGTGTACAAGATGTTTTTTTGTGCGTGTTTTTGAGGTTAGATCTGGTATAGATTGGTTCCATCACCATCCCTATGGGATGTGGGATTGGTTTTGTCTGCAGGACTTCACTGCTGCCATGGATGCCGTGAATGTGGACTTGGATGAGATGCGAGTCAGGTCCTCGTGGAAATCCCGCTGCGTTTGGCGCGTTGGGTACTGTCAAAATGGTTGGGTTGTTGAACACCCTTGGGATGGAATGATTGGAATGGGGCGGTGGCTCCCAGGAATTGAGTTCGTGGAGACATGTCAGTTCCATTTATATAATTGACTGGACATTACTTCCCGCTGGGTGAAGTAAGCCACTGGCAAGAGCCAGCAAGTATTTAGTACCCTCCTGAAATTCAGAGGCTCCCCAAAATGGCATGGGAAGCTGATTTTCACGTGGGACGTTGCTTTTCTTACTATTCTTTTTACGTTCGATGTCAGCTTTTAATAGTTGTCACAGGGGTTTTAGGCATCCAACAATATTGCATCCTATCTTGCATCCCATCCTAAAGTGGAAGCCTCACTGACACTTGCTTGAAGTCATGCGTGCCATTCAGATTTGTCAATGATACAAATTGATTTTGTCTAATTCTACTTGAGTTGAGTTCCGCCATGGAAGTTTCACCTGATTTGACAGAGGGGTTACGTTTCAGATGCAATGGGCAGCACCTGCAGCACCGTATATTTTCTAACCATTCCAAGCCAATATGAATCGCGTGGTGCTGCCTTCTGCGGTCAACCAACCTGCTGGTGACTGGTCGCTCAAGAAATGTCCAGGACATTTCATAATATTTCATGGGTTTGATTACATATCCAGGTCCAGGTCCACAATTTTTTTCCCCAGGGACTACACTGACTACATCAATAATTATAGCGTTGGTCATAGCCAGCTGCCCATGTTGCTGTTCAAAAAATCGCCAAGACATTGAACCATCCCATGTTGCTGTCCAAAAGTCCCCATGTTGGTTGGTTAAACCATGGCAATCGATGGCTGCCAGAAATTTCCGCATTCGAATCCTGTTGGTATTCACATGGAAAAATTGGAAAACAAGTTTCTCTGTATTAAACAAATCCCAAATGTTGGAAACCTTTAACTCAACCGAAGTTTGCTGTCCTTTCTGTCCGTGCTGCTTCCCTAGGCCCGTGTTGATGCCACCCATTCGATCATCACCAGCCGTCAACGTGTGGAGGCGATGGTGGGCCATTTCCATGGGGGATTTCACCAATCAACATGGTGGATATAGTGGGGATATCAATGGGAGATCTCCAGGATCCTAAAATGGAGGTACTAACTTAGTACCATATAAGACCATATTTAGTGGGTATATATGGGTATATCCCCTTACATAGCCCTTACATAGACCTTATATATGGTAGGTACTAGTACCTCCAATTTAGGTTCCTGAAATGGCCATTGATACTATGGGATATAACGCAAGATCATATGGAAAAATTGCAATGACCTCACTGTTCTCCGTCAAATGATGGTGAATGAGGCGTACCTTTTTTTCCACATGGCAGCGGCTGTTGTCCATGGTCAGTTTAGATTCATGGTTCAAAAAACACAGCTTTGCTTGGTGAGATCGAGTTTCTTCCATATGGAGGTTTCCTAAAATGGGGTGTAGCCCTAAATCATCAATTCTAGGATCTTCCGATCTTCCATTATAAATTCTCAGCCAGCTATTAGGGATCCAACTATGGAACCCCCCATATTCTTCCCTTGATTTCATCCAAATCAGAATTGCCTCACGCCATTGTTGTAGCCGGGCCAGGCGACAATGACGGCGGAAATCTCCACCATGCGTTTGGACATCGGGGACATCCAGGTTACCCGATCGGAAAAGGGGACGTCCATCTGGTTATGGCCGTGGGAAAAGGGATGGTTTTCATGCGAAAATCATGGGAAAAGATAGGATATCAAGGGAAATCCACGATAAATGGATATGATAAAGTGAGAAAAATGGGGGATCCGCAGTTGTTACCGTTTGGTTGTTTCAATATTGGTTTCAAGTCACTAAGTCATGGTCATCCATGACAACTGGATGATGGGGACCCCCATTTGTCAAAGTCCTGATGAGATGATGCTTTGCTGGTATTCAACGGCAGGTGTTCCTAAGTTGAAAAAAATCGCGTTTCTCAGCTGTAAACGTGTTTCCCTACCTATGTGGCCTTACTGCTAATTCCCTTTACAGCAATCACTTGTTTCGGACCCATTCAGAACATTTCAGAACCCAAGTTCCACCTTCGTACTGTACCAGCCGTAAATATGTTTCAAACTCTATGAGCCCTAGTATGACCTTTTTGGACCTTGGCTTTGGGGACAGCCCCCATTGATGACCATAGGATCATCGATGATAAGACGGATAAGATGCCGGTCAGCTGCGGCAGGAAGCCCTGAAGAACCACGACAGTTGGATGGAGGATGTGTCCAACACCTTGCAACAAATGCAAGAGAAGGAGGAGAACTTGACCGAGGACTTCCATGGGGTGGTGGGCAAGGGGTGGAGAGTGTGTTTTGTAAATGTTGTTTTGAAGTTTTCGAGTGTGTCCAACCAAGAATGGGTTGACTGATTTAGTGCTTGCTTTTCTAAATTCAATTTGTTTTTTTAAAAATGTTTTGCGCTTTTTGCGAAACCTATTTTTGGGCCTCTCATGCGCTGGTGCCTAAAGCGGTCGCCTTGTTAATCAAAAGCAGAGGAATGTTCGGACACACCCAAGTGCAGTCATGCATTTTGTATATTTTGTGATTATCACCGAAGTCAGATACCAACTGCAATCATAGATTAAATTTGCAATCCAACTGTGTTTTTTTCAGATGCTTTATGACTTTTTACTAGGTTTCATCCTTGTGACTTTCTACCCATTTTTCATCCCATTTTTCCACTTCCAATCGGTGCGAAAAATTGCCAGGATATCATCAACCTCAAGAACGAGATGAACACCAAGCTGGACACGAAGGCACGCAGCTCATGGCGATGACGCTGGGAAATCCCGTTGAAATCCCTGAAGTAAATGGAGGCTTTAATGGGGAAATTATCCAAACATAGGCGATTTTATGGGAAATAATGGGGACATCATCCAAACATAGGCTATTTTCCAACAAACCATGTTTGATGACAGTAAAGTTGGTACAGCCCTAAAGATGTGACAACCTGAAGAATTGCCCGCACAACATGAGGCACTTGGACATGCTCTGGTCCCAGGATCTTGTCTGGGGGTTCCAAAACACTTCCGCCACTTATTTGGAAAATGCTTCCCAATAAAAAGATGGAACATACAGTATTAGATTATATTAGAACATAAACATAGAACATATTGTACACCGTTTATATTTCCACCATTGGAATATGACTACTTCATTATATACCATTATATACAATTATATACCATTATTATATACCATTATACCATTATATAAATACCATTATTCCCACCATCTTTATGTACCATTATACCAACTCCCTGAAAAAGATGCCGAAAAGTCCTGAAAAGTGCCCTGCAGGTGGACAATGTGGCCTGGAAAGAAGCCAACGACGACTTGGATGCTGGCATCAAAACGGTGCCGCGGATGCGCTACAAAGCAAGGGCAGGAGGAGTGGAAGGATTGATCAAAGTTACTTATTCTATTATTTCTATTAGATAATTTATGATTTTCCATAGTTATGTTAGTTTACCAGAGGGTATGATCCTGTCATTTTCCCAGCAAATGAGACGATGATACCGATGGTTTTTCATCTTCAGCCGGTTTGAACTCCCGGAAAGGCATGGACGGTCTCGTTTTGCCTCGCACTCGTTGATTTGTTGGGCCCGTGGCGGTGCTTCATCCCAAATTCACAGATTTGCAGTGCAAATCATGTCCCCCACCGAAAGAAGGGCTTCATTTCTGATGTATTCATTCCCTGGCCAGGTGCGTGACATGGTCTCCTCCCTTCGTCTGGATGTGGACGCACGTCGTCGCAAGGCAGGACATTTTTCATCCACCCAGTTGGATGCGAGAAAATTGAACCCAAAATGGGATCCCAATTGCTTCACTGCAAGAAATTCGACTTCAGGTCGTAGATCTACATCATGTATCATCATGTACTAGTTGTAGATAAGTCAGATAAGTTATACCACGTTAACGTTATACCATCATATTATACATTGATATACCATGTATTGTATATAAAAGTTCTATAAGCCATCATAAGCCATAATTTAACGACCTCCAATTCTCATCCCTGCCACGGTTTCTGTCCCCAGGTGGATGAAATCTTGGCCACGGTTCGTCATGACATCACCGCGGTGGAAACCAATCTGGAGGAGACGGCTACGGAGGTCATCAACAGTGAAAAACCATCGACATATCCATTGATTACACATATCATTATATAAGAATATTGGTATTATCTATAATTGGTTATACAGTAATGGATACTAATCAATGAAAAACCATAGATGATTGTATGATGATTATGATTATATGATGGATTATTGGGTAAACATGGGTATACCTATCATTAATAGATGATTATTAGTGATGATTATATGATTATTAATGATGATTAATAGATGATGAAAATAGATGACAAAATAATGATGATAAATTCTTTGCACGTTAGGGATATCCCATAGAATCTATGGATTATCCCATAGATGATAGATATCCATTGATCTTGAAAAACAATAGATATCCATGATGGTTGGTTAATGTTGGTTATATAATGTGGTGTGTATATATATATACATATATATATATATCTGTTATATCATCACTGTCACTGGTCGTTGTATTGGGTATACATGGGTATACCCTATCATTTGTCCTCCTGTTGCTCGAATTCGTGGAAAATTGTTGGTTGAATGTTGGTTGAATCCCCTTTTTTTGTTACCCCTATGGCCGTATGGCTCTATTGCTCCAAACACCCAGACACTACTTGGGGCTGGTTATTTTCGGGGTTTCAACACCTCAGAAAATCTCAAAGCACTACAGGGTGCTTGTTCATAAATCATCCTAAATCGGCCAAATTCCCCTTTTCCTGGCTTCATCAGACTAAACCCACAGTTTCTTCCGACTCAATTTCCACCTTTTTGTAAGTCCCCATCTACACTCCCTTTGACTGGCTTAATATCCACCTTTTCTCTGGTGAAAAATCCATGGTAACTCACCTCGATGGTATGTTACATTCCACAGGAGTCCAAGGCCAAGATCACCAGCGACACCGACCAAGCGGTGAATGCGTTGAATGGACGTATTGATTTCACCAACAAGGAGCATCACCAACAGTTGGAGGGTGGGATCTGAGGATAAATGATGATAAATTCAATAATTGAACTGGTTGGTGGTTTGGAACATGACTTTTATTTTCCATTTCATATATGGGATGTCATCCTTCCCATTGACTTTTATATTTTTCAAGCTGGTTATTGCACCACCAACCAGTTGAAGCATCAACAGCTGGTGGTTTGACACTACTTGGAGGATCATCCGCATCGCAAGTGCTTCGAAAGCGTTTTGTTTAATATCTATCAACGGGACGACCCACGAATCGAGATCTTCGGGAACTCCCCATAATATGACAGTCCAATGCCAGAAATGGATTCATGGATAGCCATGGGTATTTTCCAACATCAATTGGATAAGATTCGTATTTTGAAGTGGCAAAGCGGTTTTCAAGTACCGGATCGAACCAGCCATAGCCATTGGGCCATTGGTCTCCAACATGAAACAACTGAATGTAGGTAGCCTCTGGTGATCAGACCTGACAATTGAAAATGATCTAAACTTACATATTTGATGGATGATTTCCTGAGTGAACAATGGGGACTTTCCAACCAAGCATGGTTGATTGCCACAGGGCATATCCCTCAAGTTTGCTGGTGAAGGGTTTTTTAGCTCAATGCATGTTCGTAACATCATGTAAATTCCACATTTATTGTTGCTTACCATCTGGTTATTTAACATCTATAAATGGGCCATTTTCCATGGCTATGTTGAATAACCAGAGGGTAACTTCACCCATTTGCCAGCTTTGTTGCTCCAATCATCATTTCTTGCCAGTCAATCAGGACCTGGCTGCCACGCAAGAGAGTCTTCACACCACACAGAACTCCTTGAGCGACTGCTTCAACGAGGTGTGAATTTGGGGGACTTCTGAGTTCTTGGCTTTGATGACCATCCTTTTCCTCATCCAATAATGTAGTAAAGCCATGTAAAGCCAATATAAGCCAATAATGAACCTCCTTGGGGTTTGTACACCCAATTTCTGGTGGAGTTGGGCATGGTTCAGGTTACATCAGGTTTCCATGTTGCTCTTGTTGGTGGTTTCAAAATGTTTCATTGTTTTTTCATCCATGATATCCATGGTTGTGATGATTGGGGCTAGTGGATTTTAGATCTTTCAAGGGCTACCCAAACTCGTCTAATGTTTGGTTTTGAGACGTCTTGATCCATTCCCATATTGTTTTACATGAAGGTTTCCTGAAATAGGGGTACCCCCAATTCATCCATTTGAACAGGATGTCCCATTATATACAAGATTATACAATCTATTTTGGGTACCACCATTTATGGAACCCCCCACATAATTCTTTCCTATCTACCCAATCCTACTTCGATACAACATGATACAACCATAATTAACCATCATAATTTTAGGATAATATCTATAATATAACCATAGGATATTATTAACATTTATTAACCATCATTAACCCACCATATTTATAGTGTCCCAATGTCCGAAGCTTCCGAGTTTCCCCCGGGGTTTCACCCCACGTCCTGAGGTGGCCGTGGTACGCAGCGACCTGGAGCGCAACGTGGCCGACACGGAGGCGGGGTTTTTGGTGGACTTGCAGCGAGCGATGGTCGGCCTGGCCATTAAACCAGGGTATAGTTGGAGAATTGTGATTATATTATAATATGATTATATTATGGTATATTATAATCATTATAAACCAGGGTATAATCATAATATAATATGATGTTAATCCAACAACATATGATTATATTATGATGTACAACAATATATGATAATATTATGATGTATAGTTGGAGAATATATAGTTAATTGATTGTATTTCAATATTAATGTCACTCTATGTTACAACAAATTTCACCATGGTCACCACAAAGGGCTTTAAATGGATTGAACATGATTTAACACATATAAACATATGGATGCATATGGTGGTATACTGGGGATATGTTGTGTATTGTTTTTGTGGTATGTTTTTTCATGGCAGATGATGGGATGAATGATTTCACCTCGCTATGACATCACTGGAATGGCGATTCGGGGAATCATCCCTGATGGCCGCAAGTTTCTGCCATATTCAGCCAGATAGATGTTATGTGCCATGGTCGATAGAGGGATCATTAAATGATCATACTATGTTCCATCACTTTTCTAATCGGGATTTTGATAGCCTATTCCAATTATCGAATGGATGACCACACCACGTATACCATGTTTTGAACATAGCACATATGATGATGATATGATATGGATATGGAGAGTATGTATGGATATCCCACCATGAAGGGGATGGTCATCCCACATAAATACTGTAAGGGTTGATAGTTAATACACTGTATACCCGTTATGAGGAATCCCATTCATTAACTATTAAGTATAACTTATACAACTTCATTCATTAACTATGAAGTATTACGTATTAATCATTAATGAAATTTGAGCCCCCAGGGGCTGCAGGTATTACCTATACCATCCCAAACGTTAAGATGGTGATCTGACCATATCTTCGCCAGGCACGTCTCAAGAACGACATCCGCCAGAAGCAGCCAACGGCCTAGTGGACCGAACGGTGACGGCGCACCGAACAGATGACCCTTATACAATGTTACAAAACCATCTGGATTTGGGATTTATAAACCACAGGATCTTAATTGAGCAATGAAGATATATTGAGATTACCCTCTGAGCAATCAAGCAGTTTACTATCGAAAACCACCATTTGAAACGGGAATTCAGATAGTAAATCATCTGTAAATGGTCCATTTGCATCTATTTTCCATGGCTGTCAACCCACTTGGAAACCATCCTGAATATGACCCCATAATTGGATTGTGTAAGCCACCCCCAAATGGTTTGTTACTGGGCTTACCATATTATTACTGTAGATAATTGTAGCCGATATATATATATATATATCCGTTATGAAGCTCATTTACAGTCAAACCGTTAAACCGTTTATAACATGTTTTTTGAACCAACTTGCATATCGTTTGAAACGGCCGCGTCCTGCAGATACACTAAATTGAATGGTTTACAATCCAGGGCACAGTGTGGCCAAGTCCCCAGTTTTTGCCCGTATCGATCCAAATTATAGAACCAGCCAACATGTTGATAACTGAATGTAACGTCATTATATTATATTATATTATATATTATATTATATTTCATGATCTCATGCAGCAAAACCCAGCCATTTTTAGCATTCCATGTCCAGAAATAGGTTGTATAAATTATTCCCAGTTGGGAGGTTTGATGGCACTGGGTTGTCCACGTGAGTAGCGGATGCTATGACATTATGACAAGCCGCACGACGCGCACGACGCGCACTGCCGTCAAAGGCAAGAGGCATTTGAGAAGATTGGCGCTGTCGAACAGCAGGTGCCTGGTCCGAGGAAGATGCCGTGAGAGATGACGGGTGGTCTGGTATATAAGATTATATATCTGCACTTGGCCTTTTTAGGCTGGTGAAATGTTGTAATTTATATTTCCAATATTTATCTAATAATGGTTGGTGAGTTGTCTCAATTTTTGAGAGGCGTCAGTTCTAAATTATATACTCGTTATTTGCATAAACTAATTATATTAGAGAAACAGTGAAATATACGCGAAAACATCCAAAAGTCTCATGTTTGATTCACAGTTTCCATTGGAATTAATTCTGTTCAGAGAAAACATCTCATGAAAATGCTGGGATGCGAGCACCGTCCCTCAGACAGCAGCTATCTATCTACAGCAATTATGAATGTCTTTGCGATATCGTATACATGTGTCTGAAGAATGCGTTTTCAATAGACAGCATTTCGATAAGGATGGGATTTGGTGGTATCCAATTTGCAGACAAGCCCATTAATCCCATATTTCATTTCTTATATATATATATGTATATATTTATATATACGCACATTATGTATGTATCCATTTGTATCCCATATTAATACATACATGCACATGACATGTGTATCATCACGTACAATGTGGGGCCCCCTAGATAGCTAAGTTGGCTTATAACTCCAATAGCTCTGGTATATGATTCTTGTATATATGATACATGTATATATATATATGATACCTGTACAACTATAATGACAGTTAATAACAACTTACTGTATATGTATGTGATACTTATATCATGAGTCTGTTAAGGTACCCCCCCTCCCTGTGTTCCCCCCCACCAAATCCGCCAAAACTTACTGTACATTATATTATCTCAATGTATGGTACCTCCAATTTAGGTTCCTGAAATGGCCATTGATGAAAAACTCATATCATACTATAAAGTTTCTAAGTGAATTAAAGTTCCTGAAATAGCAACTTGTAATTTCTATAGGTTAATTAAGTTAATTATCATAGCAACTTACTATAAACTTTCCTGAAATAGCAACTTAATTATAAGTTAATTATAGTTAATTAATTGATATTAATTGGTTTACAAAGCAACGTATAACAATTGGGGCCCCAGATTGACAGGCTGAACTGCGCAGCGCCGAAGCTTCCCGCCGCCTCGGTGCATTGGACCTGTCGGGATGCCTGGTGACTGTGGTGACTGCGCATCGCCGCATCGCGCGGGGCGGCAATGGGGGGTTTCCTAGGGATACGCCCAAAAATTGATGTTTTATAGTGGAAAAACCATGGACAAATCCAAGAAATGAGATGATTTGGGGTGGCTTTTTCCCCTTTTGTTGGGAAACCTCCAACATTGGTTGGTTTGAAAATTTAAGGGGAAACCCCTCAAAACCTAACAGATTAGAAGATCATTCTCCCATGATTGGTCATCTTGGGGAATCTACAGCAAAGTCGAAAGAGTCAGCGGTCATTTTTTGCTTCCAGGCTTCCAACTCTTTGCAAGGAATCATCAGAAGCCATCATAATCATAGAGACCTGTTAGCCAAGAATAAAACCATAAGGTTATGCAAACTGGTCAGAATTACATCAACAATTACAAGAGAACATCATCATAAGTCATCATTCGATCATGACCTGGCATCGTCATGGCACTGATAGCATGACGACTCTGAGATGGTGATATGGCCCACATCAATTGATTCAATTTGAACTTCTCCGGAAACCGTGGCTTCTCCCCCAATATGGAGGTTTCCATAGAAGTGTCCCGTAAATCGTCCCTTCAAAACACGTCAATTCGCTGTTTTTTGGGTGGCGAAACAACCAACCGAGGCGCATGAGTGGTGTGCAAGGCGGTTTGGGAGAACACAAGCGCGCCGCTGGGCCGCAGATGCTCCATGCTGGTGGTGTTAAAGTTTCCACATCATATTGACCATCTGGGTTTGGTATCCAAACAACAAATAACATTAAATTCATTCAAATTCTATGCATTCTATGCTTTTGTTCTCCAAGTATCCTGTTCTGATGCTCTGGGCGTGAATGATTTTGCCAAGCCATTCCCATATTGCCCATGAAATGAGGCGACATGCTGGGCCCAGGGCTTGCAAAACTTGGGTTTGGTTGGTCAATTGTCAATGAATCTATCTTGAGCTGTACAGGAATAAGAACTCCCACTGCGGCATTTATTTCGTGATGGAGTAAAGTAAGGTCAGTCTTTTTATGCTGCTCAAATATGTTTCTTTTACAGGTGTTAGAAAAACACATGTCTAGGAGAACCTCAAAGAGCCCCGAAACATAGGTTGGTGGTTCAACACCCCTGTGTTGATGGATTTCCCAATGTTTGACTTGCTTATACATTGTACAGATCATTGTTTTGCTGGTCAATCTCCCAGATTGGATGATTTCTGGGAAAAAAAACTGCCGGCCGACCTCGCAACGAATGATGGGCTTGGCTTCGATGGCTTGGGGGGATGAATCACAGCCGCAGATGGCTTAGACCGGATTTTTTTTGGTGAATTTCCCCATCTCCAGACATACCCACCTAGCCAATTATTGCACGTCCCCAAAACCACCCCATGAGTTGTGTGTAAAGAATATCATTTCCATAGACACCGCTATCATCCGATATCCATCATTTTCTGGTTGACTCAGTCGTCAAATCCCAATCTTTGATGGTGGAAAACCGATTTTTTGGCCGCAACGAACCAAGTCCATTTATTGGGTGGTTTTGTACACCCTTCACTTCAGCATCTTCAGCCACTGCGCGGCCGGAGAAATTTGGCACGTCGCAGGACATCTTGAAGCTCCGTGAAGAAGTCAACGGCCTCACTGTGAAGAGCGCCTCTCATGAGGCTGGCGTCGTCTAAGGAGAGGGGACTGCAGGCTCCGAAAAATGCTGGTCATTTTTTGGGTCATGGAACAATTTGACATTGACCTATACCCACCTGGTTTGAAGCTGGTTTAAGAATGTTTTAGGGCAAAATTACATAAAATTACTGTAGGATACTGTATATGGGGTTAAAACATCCAAATATATCCAATTATCCTAATATATTTCCGAGTATGAATTGATTGGCGGCTTCGGCAGAAGTCGTTTGAGGGAAAATCCAGGGAAACCCATCGTTTTTATGTGAATGGTTTTACCATGGTTTCATGAAGATTTTAATATGTTGCTTGAAGAAACCCTTGGTGATGGGTTTGCCCCAGGTCGTTGCTTCAAAAAATTGCTAATGGAATATCTTGGAGATCTCCAAGATCTACCCTCTGGTAAACTAACATAGCTATGGAAAATCACCATTTTTAATGGGAAAATCCACTATTAATGGCCATTCAATCATCATCAATCCACAAGTTGGGGAATGCCTCAGGCAATACCCTCTGTTTTTATCAACCACGGCTGGGAAATCCACCATTTAGTTCGATGACTTTCCCATCGAGTTGTGCACGTTTATTGGGGATTTCCCAGCAATGTTCGAATACCTGTTGTTTGTTGTTGGTTGTTGGTTGTTGGTTGTTGGTTGTTGTTGTTGTTGGTGGTGGTGGTTGTTGTTGTTGGTGGTGGTTGTTTGTTGTTGGTTGTTGGTTGTTGGTTGTTGGTTGTTGGTTGTTGGTTGTTGTTGTTGTTGTTGGTGGTGGTGGTTGTTGTTGTTGGTGGTGGTTGTTTGTTGTTGGTTGTTGGTTGTTGGTTGTTGTTGGTTGTTGTTGTTGTTGTTGGTGGTTGTTGTTGTTGGTGGTTGGTTGTTTGTTGTTGGTTGTTGGTTGTTGTTGTTGTTGTTGTTGTTGTTGTTGTGGTGGTGGTTGTTGTTGTTGGTTGGTTGTTTGTTGTTGGTTGTTGGTTGTTGGTTGTTGTTGTTGGTTGTTGGTTGTTGGTTGTTGGTTGTTGGTTGTTGGTTGTTGGTTGTTGGTTGTTGTTGTTGTTGTTGTTGTTGGTTGTTGTTGTTGTTGTTGGTTGTTGGTTGTTGTTGTTGTTGGTGTTGTTGGGTTGGTTGTTGTTGTTGGTTGTTGGTTTGTTGGTTGTTGGTTGTTGGTTGTTGGTTGTTGTTGTTGTTGTTGTTGTTGGTGGTGGTTGTTGTTGTTGTTTGTTGTTGGTTGTTGGTTGTTGGTTGTTGGTTGTTGGTTGTTGGTTGTTGGTTGTTGTTGTTGTTGGTGGTGGTTGTTGTTGTTGGTGGTGGTTGTTTGTTGTTGGTTGTTGGTTGTTGGTTGTTGGTTGTTGGTTGTTGGTTGTTGGTTGTTGTTGTTGGTGGTGGTGGTTGTTGTTGTTGGTGGTTGTTGTTGTTGTTGTTGTTGTTGTTGTTGTTGTTGTTGTTGGTTGTTGGTTGTTGGTTGTTGGTTGTTGGTTGTTGGTTGGTTGGTTGTTGGTTGTTGTTGTTGGTTGTTGTTGTTGTTGTTGGTGGTTGGTTGTTGTTGTTTGGTGGTTGTTGGTTGTTGGTTGTTGGTTGTTGGTTGTTGGTTGTTGGTTGTTGGTTGTTGTTGTTGTTGGTTGTTGGTTGGTTGGTTGTTGTTGTTGTTGTTGTTGGTTGTTGGTTGTTTGTTGTTGTTTGTTGTTGTTTGTTGTTTGTTGTTTGTTGTTTGTTGTTGTTGTTGTTGGTGGTGGTGGTGGTGGTGGTGGTGGTTGTTGGTTGTTGGTTGTTGGTTGTTGTGGTTGTGGTTGTGGTTGTTGGTTGTTGCTGTTGTTGTTGGTTGTTGGTTGTTGGTTGTTGGTTGTTGTTTGTTGTTTGTTGTTTGTTGTTTGCTGTTTGTTGTTTGTTGTTGTTGTTGTTGTTGTTGTTGTTGGTTGTTGGTTGTTGGTTGTTGGTTGTTGGTGGTTGGTGGTTGGTTGTTGGTTGTTGGTTGTTGGTTGTTGGTTGCTGGTTGTTGGTTGTTGGTGGTTGTTGGTTGTTGGTGTTGTTTGTTGTTTGTTGTTTGTTGTTTGTTGTTTGTTGTTTGTTGTTTGTTGTCTGTTGTCTGTTGTCTGTTGTCTGTTGTCTGTTGTCTTTTGTTGTTGTTGTTGTTGTTGTTGGTTCTTGGTTCTTGGTTCTTGGTTCTTGGTTGTTGGTTGTTGGATGTTGGTTGTTCCCCATACTTTACCATTATTTACCATTATGTTTTCCCACTAAATCCCCCATGAAGTCCCCCCAGGTGGACATCCAAAAGAACAGCGATGCCGTGCGCAAGATGGAGCCGGGGCGGGCACCATGGAGGTTGAAGTGGAAATGGAGTTGTCACGTGAAAAAAACGTTGCATGTTCTTATGGATTTGCATGAGCATTTCGTGGCGCTAGGTATCTTCTATGTAATCTCTACGTCCGTTTTGAGCATTTGCGGGTTTGTATCTTCTTGTATCACCATCAGCGCAGCGGAGGAGAAGCAGCGCAACATGGACGAACAGAATTGGAAGGCCCAAATGGATGCGGTTCACGATGTGCTGGACACCAAGGTGCGAAGGGTTGCTTGGATGGTGTCCCACCGGAAAAACGGGTGGAAAATGGTGGATTATGCCTATGTTTTTGTCTAAGTTTGGGACAGCCAAATGTGGATGATGTTGTTGTTTTTTTTTGCAATCTTGACTTGACTTGGCCTTCGTTTGACAAAGATGTTAGAACTTCAATTCATATTAAAAATTATGTTTTCTCATGTCCATAGAATCAGGTTGAGACACGGGAAAAAATATACGTATATAAATATATATATACATGTTATATATATATATATGACCGTCATATATATATATATAATGTATATAATTATATAATATATAATATAATATATATATAATATAATACATATAATTTATATATAATATAATATATATATATAATATAATTACACATTAGCAAATATTGGAAAGATCAGATTGTAATCACCTCTTTGCCATGATGTCTTCTGTTCCTGTGGCCCCATGCTGTCCCATATAAGACTTGCATGACCAGGGCGCATGGGGATTCGGACTTACCTGAAATGAAATTGAGGTAAATCAATACACATCACCATTTCTATCCATTTCAAATGGGATTCAATTCGGGTATTTCCATGGTATTTCAACATATTTCAACAAATTTCAACGTATTTCAACATATTTCAACACATTTCCATGGTATTTCAACACATTTCAACCAGCTTTTGGCTCTCTGCCAGGTCAATGAGAAGCCCTTCGAAGATCTGAAGCACTGCACGGCGGCGCTCACGCGTGTCCTTTGGCAATGGAGGGTCCATGGAACTGGAAAAATCTTACCATCCCTCCAATTAAATCCAATTAATGTATATATAGATAATATATCTATGTAATATATAAATGATCTGATATCTATATACAATATATATCAATATATTATACATATCTGTGTATATATATATATGGGATGAATGGAGAGAACTTGTCGTCGAGTGATATCAATAAGATGCGGACATATTGTTAGTATACTTTTCTTGTTGCTCATATATATTTTTACATCTATGCATGTACTTTGACAAAGTCAATTGGAGAGATTCGTATCAAGCTCATGGTTTTGACAATGACAACAGAAGGAACAGCAAAAACGGCGGGTCACGTGCCTGTCCCCAGGTTGGGATATCACTAGCAATTGTTGGGGACTACCTTCAGTACCATCAATCTGCAGTGGTTTGTGGTCTCAACGGATCTTTTTGTTGTCCATTCCCGACTACAAACACATAGACACACACACACAAAAAGACAACAACCATACAATACCTTGGATGTACATATTACATTGTAATTATACACTAATATTATATATATACACAATATTCTATACATTATTTATACTATACTGAAATATTATATATATATATATATTATAAACACATAAACATATATATATATATATATAATGTACACATGTATACACACTACGTTACATGTATTCAATACATATGATTCGTTACATATGTCATAGGTCCTGATACCACAGGACCTCGGACTCACACAAGGGCCAGTTTGAGCTTCGCTGCTTCGCTTCCCTGAGGGTGTTGTGAAGTTTGCGCAAGTCGTGGGCGTCTTCCCTGGTCCTAAATTCGATGATGCTGAAGGCGGCTCTGGATCACCAGCTGGGAAGAAGTTCACCATGATGGTGGTTGAATGGGAGTTCAATGGGGGTTCAATGGGATTTAATGATGCTTATACATATTTATACCATACTTTAGTGGCTCAACATCCATACTTAGACACCAATCATCTATTTTGGCTCAAGATGTAAGGCCCAAAAAGAAGATTCACACCGCTTAAATGTGGAAAATCCACGATGAAAGTAGATCATTTTCCGAACGCGGTGTCCTAAAATGGGGGTCCCCCTAAATCATCCATTTGATGTTCGGATTCTCAAAATTTTCAATAAACCATCTATCCAGCGATTTTTGGGGTAGCCCCATTTTACGAAACCCACATCTTTCTCTAAACGTTTCAGGTGCAGATCAGGGCGAAGCTGATGTGGAACTTCTGGGCTGGGAGGACGACACGGCAGGATTTGCTGGTGATTTTCTGAGCCCCAGAAACTGGGGATATGGGGGATATGGGGGATATATAAAGTTTGAGTATTTGAAATGATTTGAGATCATGATCATTATCTGGGGTTGAAACTATACTTTTCTGGGATGTACTATATTATTCAATTATGGAGGATATACTTGACTAGTATTTGAAATGATTGACGAACATATTTACCAAGCAGTTTCTTGTCTTTCCCCAGTTGATTCCGTGTAATTCCTTCCCCAAACCAGGCTTTCTAAGGCGGGTATTTCACATAAAAGGGATTGGTTCATCGGTTAATCCACCAAAACTCTACAACTTGATGAAGTATGCATATTTTCTTGGGGACTCCTTAGACAAATCCACAGGAACACATCGAAGGCAACACCTAGCACTGATTTTTGGAGTGAATAGCCGGGCAAGAAATGTTTGGTTTCAATGTTCGAGACACGGAGGCTTCCCCCCCAACAATCCTGGCAGGCCTGAGGGCCAATCGATCAATCTCATTATCAGCTGATCCTCCATAGGTCCAAGGCTTCAAGGGTGTCCCACTCCCTTTAGGTGGATGGAAAGGGCGGTGGTGTCTGTACAGAAAGTAACCACTCTCCAATTCAGAGGATCATACCACTTACATACCTCATTACTTAATCACATTTAATCACATTTAACAAGCTTCAAGTTGATAATTGACCATGTGGTTATCAAAAATCGTATCCCATGAAAAAAAATCATTGGGTAGTTAACCCCATTGAAACTGACAGCACCGCGAGATACCGCGAGTATCAACTCCTGGCGGCATGTGCTCCGCTCAGAACCGGGAAAAACCCGCAGGAATGTGCTGAGAACATGTCCTTCCGTGTGGACAAGGCCTGGCGTCAGCGCTGCTCCCAACGCTTCCGCAACATCTTGGACATGGTGGCAAAGAAGGCCGGACACCCCATTGGTAAATGGGAAATCCCCGTCAAAAATGGAGATTTCATGGGACGATATGGAAAACACACATATATATATAGAGGGTTTAACGGGAAAATAATCTAGAAATGATAGATGGGCTGTGGTAATCCAACACTTTTCTATGGAATAGTACCATTTTCAATATGGAAAACATCGAGCTAAACGTATCATTTTCCATAGCTATGTTCAATTATCAAAGAAGATCCACAGAATAAACACTATATCGGATGATTCAGAGCCAATTTATCACACTACTGGGACGCTCCACTGGGCTACTGTAGTTGGCACCCCAAAAAAGATGTGGCCCCACTTGGAATGGTTTTGTTTTTCTGTTAGAATATCATCGCAGGATAGGTTTGAAATACCAGTCGTATCCGCTTGGTACATTCCTGACTTTTTGATGTTGGCCCCCGAGACATTCTGCGCTGAAGGCAGGTTGGATTTGTTTTCCTCTTACTTGAGTTAGAACCATTCCATTTTAAGAGATCAAACACCAAACTTGGCCCAGTTTTGTTTTTTTTGCGAGGTTAGACTGGTTGGGGACGTTGGGGACACCCGAAATGAGGGGGGAAACTCACTGCTGCATCAAGATGTCGTTTGATGATGTTTGAAGTATCCAACAGCAAACAATGATTTGCACCCACAATCAACCTTTAACATCCCTTGACACAGTGTTTTTTATGTTTTTTTCCGCTTCAAGAGGAGCAAGAGTTTCTTTTCTGCGTAAACCTTAGTTTGGTACATTCAACCTTTAAATTCATGTCCATCCCAAGTGAAATTCACAAAAACTGCATATTTATAACTCTTTATCAAATCGATAAATAAGTAAATATATATATATATACATTATATATATACATTATATATATATATACATTATATATATATACATTATATATTGTAAAAACTCCTGCAGTAAAACCATGTAGTGTATATATCATCGATCTACTCTGTAGCGTTGGTTCAAAAGAGCTGAGTGCTTAACGGTGTTAGCTTAGTATTTCACCCCATTGTCGGTTGACCTGGTAAAATACAGGTTATCAGCCGTAGTCTCACTACTTTGCTATGGGGACCCCAATTGACCATCCTCTCGCCGTTCCAGGGTCAGGTCCATCGGCTGTCGCTGTGCCCAATGTGGCCGGGGGCAACCCCGAGCCGATGGATGACGAAACAATGTTCCAACCCGTTGTCGCGTACTTTACCTTCATACAAAACAACCTGTCCCAGATAACTAGTGGGAATACCCTGCAAGTCATGAGGGAAGCTGAACAGAGGCACCTTCAGATAATGCATGGAGTAGTTGACTCAATTCGAAACGAATGGTCAAGTAGACTCGTAATGCAGGAGCAGGAGTATGAGCAAAGGCTGCAGGAGATTGAAGGTAAGGCCATTAGTGCCGTCAACGAGGAGAGGAAACGAGGCAATGAGATGGAGGTCAGGTTAAATCAGGCTCAGGCATCGAATGACAAAAGAATAGAGGATGTAAAGGCAGAGGCAAACACAAAGCATGATCAGAAAATTGCAGAGGAAAGGCAACGTATCACTAGTGAATTCGAAGCTTCTTATGCACAGACAGTTGAACATGCAAAGAATGCCATAGCTGCCACAAAGAAGCAATATGAAGATCAGGCTGCAATTGATCAGGCCAGGTTCATCAGTTTGAGGACCGAGTTCGAGAACTACAAGAAGGAGATGGCCGACAAGATCAATGAGGCAGCGGCTCAGAACCTTAGCCTTCAGGACCAAATCGATGACCTTCAGGAGCAGTTAAAGCATGTTGCCAAAGCGCAGCATGCCTCCGTTCCGAGAGCATCCGCCCTGAATGCCGAGCCAGCCGCTACCACTAGCGTGCCCCACTTCAATATTGCCACTCCCAAAGCATCCGATGCACAGGCTGCCAAAGGCAGTGACGAGCCGATTCATGAGTTGAAGACGCCTGCAGTGTTGGCGCAAGAAGCAAAGGCCAAGTTGGATGAGCTGCTCAAAGGTGGCAGTCCCAAGCAAAAGCCGGCTGTCGGCAACGACCAGCCTCAATTGCCAACGCAGTCAGGGTTTTTCACTCCCACTGAAGCTATCAAAACTCCCCCAAATGACTCCCCCAAGAGCGTAACCAAGCAACAGCAAGTTATGGGTCCCTCAGATCTTATTGAATTGGTGAAAGCCTTAACCCAAAGGGAAGAAAAGGATAAGCCAAAAACTAAGGAGGCCGAACTCATCAAGCTGAACAACATGCCCGCTCCGGAGTCGTATAGGACTTGGAAGAATCATGTCAGGGATGAAGTGAAAAGCTGTTCAGATCGCCCGGATGAGGCGTGGCTCTGGCTCAATGAGGTGTACGATCAAGAGTGCACCAGAGAGCAGTTGGAGAAGAAACTCCAAGATCCTGGAAAGTTCCTCACGCTGGATACAAAGTTATCAGCAGCGCTCACGCGCTCAGCCGGAGGGGACCTCGCAACTAGGATCTTGAATTTCAAGGAGCAGCAATCCCGAAAAGGCATCCAGGTCAGGGGAAGGTATGTTCTGCTCATGTTTGAGGACTACTTCAAGACATCAGAAGAAGCAGGTAGCCTTTACAGAGTAGAAGATCTTTTGGGTGTTGTCAAAGTAGGCGATACTGTCCAGGATCTCCGAAGATTCATCAACAAATGGGATGCTACCCTAGCTGGCATGGCTGTCACCCCCGATGATGCTGTGTTGAGGGACATCTTGTTGAGGCAGATCCGACCAAGTCAGTTGCTGAAGTATGACATTGAGATGTTTGACCGTGCTCATGAGAAATCCCATGAAAAGTCTTATAGTTTTCTTCACCAATCCATGAAGAACTTGATCGATCGTGAACGATTGAGGGAGAACAGGAACCGCATCGCGGAGAAGAACAAGGCTGGGATCAAGGACACAAAGGCCGCACCTGCCAAAGGCGATGGTCGCGGTGGCCGAAAGGGCTCCCCAAGTCGTGGTAGATCGCAGGAACGAGGTGGCAAAGGTGACAAGATTTGCTATAAGTTCCAAAAGGGTACCTGTGATAAGGGGAAGAAATGTCCATTTAAGCATGTCAAGGATGACAAATCTCGAACTCAATCACCCAGAAGAACCAAAACACGTTCACCATCAAGGGGCAACAAAGATGATAAGGGGAAGAAAATGTCCAAGGAAGAAATGGCTAAAACCCCATGTATCTATCATGCCCAGGGAAAGTGCAGACGTGGTGACAAATGTTTTTATAAGCATGATGACAAAGCTGCTGCCGCCACCAAAGACACCAAAAGGGCCAATTCACCCGCTCCCAAGAAGAAGAGCAAGGATTCCACAGCCGCTCCATGCCTGATCCAGAAGTTTGCATGCATTGTCCGAAAACAGCCGAAGGCAACTTCGTGCTCTGATGAGTCAAGTGTCAGCATGAAGCGCCTTAGATTCCGAAAGGCCCCACATGTGATCGAGGTGAAAGCAGTTGGTCGTCAAGTCCCAGTCAAGCACCGTCCAAGAGAGTTCACTGAGGTGTACAAGACAGCTGAAGATGTTCCGGTTTCATCCAAGGTTGAACAGCATGAGGCTCAGGTTCGTGCAAGACAGCTTCAGGAAACTGTGAAACTTCATGATTCAGATGTTGCACCTAGTTGTGGGTTTTGTTGTTGGAATGAGGACACACGTGACATCACATGCAAAGAGTGCAGGTTCATTAGCGGTCCCAAAGCCCTTAGAGACATTGGTCGATTCCCGTCAATTGCCACAGCCGCGCCAAAGGCCGGTGTTAGTTGGCTTGTCGACTCAGGTAGTGAATCCGATCTTGTGTCCAAAGGAATGCTGAGGGATGTCAGTGCCAAGAACTGCCGTGCAGCCGAGCACCCGATTTCCTTAGTCACAGCCAACGGTTCGACCGAGGCAAACGAGGTTGCTGATGTCAAGTTGTCCGCATTGCCGGATCCCGTGCATCCGTATGTACTTGATCATACCCCAGCTGTGCTCTCCGTAGGAACGAGATGCGTAGATCAGGGTTACAGTTTCGTATGGCCTGCCAATGGCAAACCAATCCTAGTCCGTCCAGATGACAAGGTCGTCCAGCTCAAGATCGAAGGTCATGTCCCAGTTTTGGATGATAGTTGCAAGGTTTATCCCAAAGATCAATTTCAAAAGGATAAGCACCTCAGAAAGTTGTTTGCAATGCCGACCTCACGGTCGAGCTCAAAAGCCAAACGGGACGAAGCCCAAGATGAAGAGCAATTGGATGAGCTGGTGGAGGATGACGCTCAGCAGGAGTACGTCCGAAGCCGCAAGACTGAGGATCTGTTGGCCGAGGCTGCAAGTACCCAACATCAGTACACGCATTTCCCCAAGAACCCCTTTTGCAGAACCTGCCAACGAGCAAGGATGATGGCACCTCAGGCACGAAAGAAAGGTGGTCAGAAGAGAATCGAAACTGAAGTGTTCGGTGACCATGTCATTGGGGATCATGTCATCATCAAGAAAAACGTAGAAGAGGGTTTCAGGGGGGAGCAAGTCGCATTGGTGTTGAAAGATCTGCACACCCAATATCGGTATGTCTACCCTAGCCAGTCCAAGGACTCACAAAGCTGTGTTGATGGTTTGAACCACTTCATTGGATCAAAGGATGATGTTCAAGTTGTGTACACTGACAATTCCCCAGAATTGATCAGGGCCATCAAGGATTTGGGTTACAGACACCAAACCTCCATTGAATATGTAGATTCATCAAAGTCTTTTGCTGAGCGCGAAGTTCGTCAGATGTTGGAAGGTGCCCGGAGCAACTTGTTGCAATCAGGACTTCCTTTGAAGATGTGGCCATTGGCCATGCAGCATCATGCGACCGCGATCAACGCAAGCCCCCAGCTTGACGGCAGTGAATCCCCATGGCAACTCAGGTTTGGTGAAGAGTTCCCTGCAATGCACATTCCATTTGGTGCCAAAGTGTTATTCTGGAATAACCCCAAGAGGTTGGATAACACATCAGGTAAGCT